GTCTCTCTCTCAAATAAATAAATATCTTTTTTTTTTTAATTGTGGGTTTTACCTTGAGTGCAATGCAGGAGCCCTGAAGGGTTTTGAGCTATAGGAGCAACATCATCTGATGTATATTTTTATTTTATTTTATGTTAAGCTTCTCTTTGTCTGTTGTGTGACTCTAGGAAGGCAAAGATAGAATCGGGCAGGACAATTAGAAAGTTGAGGCAATAATCCCAATGACAGATGGAGATAGCTGGACGCAGGTGGCTGGGAGGAATCAAAGGAGCGGGACCAGCTCTGATGCTAAAATTAAGGCAGAGCTGATGGCTTTCTGCTATCTGCTGATGGATTTGTGTAGTTTTAGGGCAAGGAGTCAAAAAGGACTCAAAGGATTTTTGTTTGCTTATCATCGTCAAAAATAATTCTGGACATTGGTAAAGAGAGACTTCATTCAAAAGGATTATTGCAAGAGGGAGAAAAGGCCTATTGAAATAACACTCCAGCCATAAGATCTATAAGTATCTCAGAGGTTAGTTAGAAAAAGGCTCTTCTTTTATAGGGAGGAGTAAGTGAAGCCCAGAGAACATCTATTTAAGGAGGCACAGTGTAGGTGCCCGACATTAAGCTTTTGATTGAAGAGGAGTCCATTTTATGAACCTGAATAAAGGAAATCTCATTTAAAATGGAGTTAGGAGTGGGGTGCCTGGGTGGTTCACTCAGTTAAGCATCCAACTCTTGATCTCAGCACAGGTCTTGATCTCAGGGTCCTAAGTTCAAGCCCGGTGTTGGGCTCCATGCTGGGTGTGGAGCCTACTTAATAAAATAGAATAAAATAAAATGGAGTCAGGAGGCCAGAAAGGGTGCCATACCACTTCTTGCAGCCCTTTGCAGAATGAACAGGAAGAGACATACCTTGTATTCCCAACAGGAAGAAGCCAGCACATTTACTACCCCAGCAGTTGGAGGAAAGATTTATTCCGAGCTCAGCGACAGCCCAGCCAATGAGAAGCCATTATACTTCAAACTCTCAGTTTACTCTAATGGACTTCTTTTGCTTATAATAACGCCTCCCAAGTCCCTTCTTTCCTCTATAAAAGAGCATTCCTCTCCTTGTTCCCCAGACTTGCCTATGGTTTTGCCATAACTTGCATGTCCTGAATTGTAATTCTGTTATTCCTGAATAAACCCAATTTTTTTGCTGGTAAAAGAACTGTTTTATTTTTAAGGTTAATAAAATTCACCAATAAAGAGTGAATCCACAAAACCCTAGGCCCTCCACCCCATCCTTAACCCCCAATAAAGACAGAACCCCAGGACTGTGCTCTCTCTCTCTCTCTCTTTCCTGACAATCTTGGGTATGCCATGTGCCCTCCAGGACTTGTGAGTAATAAATATTGTTTTTCAAAGTCATCTGATAGTTGCTGCTGAGGTGTGGTTTGCAATCATAATAAGAACCACGGGAGTGGGTCCAGCCACAACACTGGCTCCAGTCAGGGCAATGTCTGTGGGGGCTCACTGCCAGTTACTAGGGGCCCAGATGAGTGCCCCCAGGCATTCCTAGCCAATAGCATCACTATTACAGGCTGAGACTGACACAAAACAGGTATGCCTCTATTTTAGTCCATTAGGGAGAAAACGTCATTCCTCCGCCTTTCCATGTCCAAGGAGGGCATATGTCTGCTGAAGTGACCTCTGCACGTACACACCCATACTCTATATCTCACTAGCAGGTTTGGAAGAAAGAACTGAGCGTCTTCAAATCTCACCCTTTCTCTCTCCCTTTGGGAGTCTGTGAGACTCCAGAGAAGGGCTAGTTTGATCAGGCTGGGGCCATACGGTAAGCATCCAGAGGAGCTTTGTGGTTGACCAGCTGACTGTGCCCAAGTACCTTTGACAAATGCAGCAGTAAAACATCATAAGGCCAACGGGCGATGCAGAGCCAAACTGGCGTGCTTCAATCCAGGTTTTGTTATTCATGAAGCTGATGTTTCCATCTCTAACTCCCGTGATTGGTCTCAAACTCAGAAGGGAGATTAAGAGATGTCATTGATTAGGGCGTGTGGCTGGCTCAGTTGGAAGAGCGTGTGACTCTTGATCTCGGGTTCATGAGTTTGAGCCCCACGTTGGGTCCAGCGATTACTTAAAAAAGTAAATAAACTTAAAAAAAAAAACACAAGTAATGTCTTTAGTTTTTCTCCAAAGTCCCAATAGTAGACAAAATTCTATATGATTATAAATCTAACTTCTCACAGTGATTTCCTCTGGGACCTAGGATTAGAAAGAGGTTCACTTTCTATCATTTTTAAATAAGATTTTATTTATTTAATAAATAAAAGAAGAGAGAGCACAAGTGGGAGGAGGGGCTGGGGGGGAGAAGCAGACTCCCTGTTGAGCAGGGAGCCCTATGCAGGGCTCACTTGATCCCAGGACCCTGAGATCATGACCTGAGCCAAATTCAGATGCATAACCAACTGAGCCACCCAGGAGCCCCTCACTTTCTATAATGTTAAAATTCTTTACAAACGTTATTTTTTAATATCAGGGAAAATTATTTTAAGAAAAAAACATATGTTTAAACACAAATATCCATCAAAAGATGAATGGGTAGTGGTGCCTGGGTGGCTCAGTTGGTTAAGCGTCTGCCATCAACCCAGGTCATGATCCCAGGGTCCTGGGATCGAGTCCCACGTCAGGCTCCTTGCTTGGCAGGGAGCCCGCTTCTCCCTCTGCCTGCTGCTCCCCCTGCTTGTGCGCTCTCTCTCTCTGGCAAATAAATAAATAAAATCTTTTTTAAAAAAAAGATGAATGGGTAACAAATTGTGCTATTATAACCATATGACAGAATACTACCCAGGAACAAAGTTTTGATTCCTACAAGAGCCTGGATGAATCTCAAAATCATTATGGTGAGTGAAAGAAAAGACCCCCCCACACACACATACAAAGTACATATGATTCTACTTACATAAAATTCTAGGAAAATAAAAATAATCTATAGTGACAGAAAGCAGATCAGTATTTGTCTGGGAACAGGGATGGAGGGAGGGTTAAAAGGAGCCACAAGGAAACTTTAGGGAGTTATGGAAATATTTGTTATCTTGATGGTTTCACTGGTCAGAACTCATCAAATTATGCACCTAAATATGAGCTGTTTATTTATGTGAATCATACCTCAATAGAGCTCTTCATTGGGCTGCTGGAAGAAGTCCATGCATGAAGGACTGAGCATAGTACCTGACACAAAATAGATACTCAATTAAAGTTTGCTATTGTGATTATCCTTTACTTTCAATGGAGGGTGTATCAGTCATGTTTTTTTATTTTCTATATTTTGTGATGCTTTGACACCTTAGGGCCTTGCAAACCTGGGTAAGGACCACCCCTCTGAGGGGTGCCCCTGAGCACACTTTCATATGCAAACCAACCAATCCAACTACCTCCTTGATCTCAGTCTTACACAGCAAACCAATATTCCCTCTGCCCTAAATCACCCCAGAGCCAAGTAACAGACAACTAGGGACCACCTCTAAAGCCTATAGCCCACCCAAAGTACTCAAACTAGCCAATTCTAAACTTGCTCAGCTTGCCTACCCACCCCTCAGAGCTAAGCTCAGGGAAGGGGTCACTAAAGTTGGGTGAGCCTGGAAGAAAGACACCACTAACCAGTGGCATGCTGAAGTCAGCTCATGCCAGATCAGGGGGGTCAATTGCTAAACTTGCAGGAATTTTGTGAGCCAGTTGTTAGACTGCTGGTAGCTTGAAACCAGCCATGATGGGATACTTACACCCCAGAAATGGGCAAACACTACAAATTAGGGCTCCCCCACCCCATCACTACTTGCTAGCGATGTCCATTGAACACTTCCATGTTTACCACTGCCTCCGATTTCATACCTGCTGCTCCATTTCTGCAGGAAAAGCAAGAGGAAGAAAGGAAGGAAACTTGTTTTCCTCCTCGAGCTGCTCCAGGTGGGGCATCAGCAGCCTACTCCAGGACCACCGGCAGAGCCCAGTGTAAGACTGGGATTGGCGACTCCATCATACTCCCGACAACAGACCTCAGGTCTCCAGACACCCTTAAAAGAGATCTCTTTCCCTAACCTGAGACTTCTCCAGTCCCAACACCCCAGCCTGCATCAGTTTAGTCCCCCAGGTGCCCTGGGCTGGAGCTGCCAGGTTTGATGACAGCATGGGACAAGCAGACCCTACCCACGGCCCCACTGGGGGAGTACTCATACCATAGTCCTCATGTGGCCTGATGGGGAATTTCCGCCCCACCCGCTAGTGGGAAAGCATGGGAGAGACACCCAGGTCCTCTGGTAAGTGAGCTTGGAACAAGGAACCAAGAGTCCCAGCTCAGCCCTGTTTTCTCTTTTGGCTTTGCCCGCCACTGAGCAGGCAGGCTGGGCTGGTGGGCAGGCGGGGAAATTGTAGTCACACACGCCCTCCCACCCAGCTCAGATCAGAAGTAACACTCAACTCGAGGGCGGGCGCTCCTGCTCACTATCAGCCTGCCACCTGCTTTTTTCAAGTGGCTCAGACTTAGCAGGCTGGAAAAGAGTCGCTACTTACTGAACCCCTAAAACACGTGCCACCTGTGAGGACCCTCCAACCTCACCCCCTCAGCTGACTTCACTTTCTATTGCTCACCCCTTGTTCCCTCAGCCACACGATTCTTCCTGATCCTGAAAAATGTCAAGCTCATCCCCATCTCAGCGTCTTGGTCTTTTCTTTTTCCCAGCGCTTCCCAGAGTGGGTTCCTCATCACCTCTCGTCTCCAAACTTGAGCGGCTCATCCCGCCCACTCTATCAGACACAGGCACCTCCATCACGTGAGCCTGGTTTATTGTCTCTAAAACTAGTCCATCAATGCTTTCACCTGTTGATCGCCCAGCCTTCTACTCAGGGATTGTTTTGTTCACTGCTGTGGTCCCAAGGCTTAGAACACAGCCTGTGATAAAGTGGGCACTCAAGAAACGTTTGTTGATTAAGAAACCAAATGCTTTTTTGAAAAAAAAAATTATTTTTCTTTAATAGCAAAATAATATATATTGTGGAAAAATTGAAAAATACAGAATACCAAGTACTGAAAATACAACTTAGAACCTTCATTAACATTTTTGATTATCAAAGCCTAAGTCCTGATTGGCTTCTCATCATGTCCCTCGTGTGCAAGTAGGTCTATCAATGGTGTGTCGGTGTGTGGGTGCACATAGACAGTCTTTCCAGGCCTCCTAAGGGGCCTTGGCCTCTCAGGTCCCCCTAACTCCTAGCCCTACCCTTCTGCATCCATCCTGTTCCTGAGAACAACCCTTCATCAAGGACCCTTTTGGCCCAGGGCTGCTAAAGAGTTAAGGCTTTGCAACATAACCATGAGGTAGCTATGATCTTCCCCATTTCCAGATGTGGGGACGGGCCCTCCAGGAGGCTGGCTGATGCCACAGAGGCCAAACAACTGGCAAACAGGGATTCCAATTGTCTGGAGGCCCCAAGGCCTCGGTTCTCTCTACCTGTGGCTTTCAGGCCCTGTCGGCCTGACTACAGGCCCTCTGCAAGGTGCCATTCAGAGGGTGTGGGGCTCCCCAATGAAAGCTGAGATGGACAGGTGGTAGTCACATCCACCAGTCCATGGACTCTTTGGGGCAGGCCCTAACGATGACCATACAGTGGGGCAGTCCCCTACACAGGATCCTCTCAGCCTCCTGACCCTCCCACCCTAGCCCCTGCAGCTCAAGGACCCTGAGCTTGGGCATGGCGAGGCAGGAAGAGAGGATTTCAGCTGGGGAAGGCATTTCTGGGGTAATGAGAGGGCCTAGCAAGCACAGACTCTCCAGGGCTGGCATGCCCTCCAAGACCGACAGGCCAGGGGCAGAGAGGCCCCTCACGGTCAGCCGGATCTTCCGCACATCTCGGAGGTGGCGGCTGATGGCCAGGAGGGTGCTGTCAGCTGAGAGGGTACAACCTAGCACCTCCAGCCTCTGCAGGTAGCTCAGCTCCTGGAGGCCCGCATCCAGCCCTGTCTCTGTCACACGGTAGGTGCCGCCGAGCACCAGTGACCGCAGGGCACGAAAGCGTGTCAGGCCCTGCAGGTGCTCGTCTCGGAAGGCAGGGACACGGTCCAGCACAATGCACTCGAGCAAGGGCAGCACGGTGGGGTCCTGCTCCTTGAGGAGCCAGGCCATGGAGATCTCACAGCTGTGCAGCTCCAGGGTCCTCAGGGTGCAGGGCAGGCTGGTGATGGGCACCATGCTCAGGTCAGCCACGTGTAGGCAGAGGCGCTTCAGGTTGGGGCATTTCTGGCCCAAGGCCCTCATCAAGGCGGGGGACAACTGGGGGGCCTGGGAGCCTGAGAACAGGTAGCCACCCATCCGCAAGGAATGGAGCCGGGATGCCATGTACCGGCGAAGGAGGTGCCACATGACTTTAGGCCGCATCTGTAAGAGCCAGAGATGGGGGTGACAGGTGAGGGGTATGGAGAATATTCCAAGGGCCCTGCCTGCCTGGAGACAGACAAGCCCCAGCTGGGGCTCTAGTGCTCCCCTGGGCTTCTGCCCTTCCCCTGCCAGCCGCATCTGACCCTGCATCTCCCATTCATTTTGATTTCTAGGTTTGAACAAAAGCAATGGGGGAAAAGAGATGCTCAGAATAGATCTGTCTTTAGCAACAGAGTGGATTCCCATTATCTGGAGTAAGTAAGAAAGCAAAGCCACTCACCAGCATTTTATCCCTTTCTTAATGACCACCGCCAGTAGAAGTAAGCAACACAAAACCAAGCTGAAAAAGCCTAGAACTGCCTAGAGTAAATTAGACCTATGTTTAAAAAATCATCATCATCATCATCACAACCTGGTAATAGCGAAAGCTGCAAAAATTAACCCTAGAAAGTTAATTACTAGAAAACAAAAATGTAACTGGAAGCACTGTGCATTTTAATGTAGGTACATTTTACCTTTTAAAAAAAAAGAAAAAAGAAACTGCATAATGTAAAATTTGTGCATAGCATAAAACCTGGGAGGTTGTTAGAAATTCAGAATCTGGGACCCCATCCAGTTCACTGAATCAGAATCAGCATTTTAACAAGATCCTTGGGTGATTCATATACACAGGCAAGTTTGAGACACTCCTTTACAACACTGTTTATAATAGTAAAAAGCTGGAAATAAATAAATGTCTGTCAACAGGAAAATAGAGAAATTGTGGTATACTCATTTAACAAGTTAAAAGGAACGAACAAGATTTACATGTCTCAGTTAAAATAAATCTCAAAAGCAGTATTGTGTGAATAAAGCTGGCTGCGGGTGGATGTACAATAAATAGCATTTAATTACCTAAATAGAATACCATTATTTAAATTTTAGAAACACATTAAAAAAACTATATATTGCTTCTCGGCACTCATGCAGGAAGGAAATAAAAACGTGATCGGAAGACTACAGATCCATTTTATAATAGTGGTTACCTCTGAGGAGGGTTTCAAATAATGCAACGAATATATCTATAAATGTTGTGTGCGTATATGTCTACATAAACCTTTGCATGTATGTTTCACATAATCTGCAGCAAAAATGACCGAAGGTCAAAATGGGTTAAATCTAGGTGATGACTACATAGTTGTTTCAGATTATTACCCTCTACACATTTCTATATATATTTGAAACAGTTCAAACTAAAACAAGAAAAATAAATACGATGCAAATGGGAAAAAGTTTAAAAGGCTCGGTTGCACTACTCAGGAAATAAATTCTGGAAATTAAATTGAATCTGGAAAATGATTCCTCCAGGAAAACTCATTAATAGATAATGTAAGCAACTAACATTTGCCCTAGGCTCACTCTACGCCAGACTCGGCTCTAAGCCTTTCCCTGCACGAGCTCGTTATCCCCATTTTGGAGATGCGGAAACAGGCTGCGGAGCAGGTAAGCCACGGTGCCGGGGTGCGCCCGGGACGGCCAGGCTCGAAATCCAGGGAGCGAGGGGGTGGGGCTCGCGGCCCAGACTCCCGACCGCGGCCCAGGCCCGCCCGGTCGGCCCCGCGTACCGTGTACAGCGTCAGGTCGACATGTCGCCAGAGCCACCGGTCGTCCACCAGCCTCTTCCAGCCGTGACAAACCCTGGGGGAGGGGACCCGCCGTTAGAACAACCCCGGCCCCGCGGGAACCGGATCCGCATCTCAGGGGAAGCCCCACCCCCGCCCGACCGTCCCCTCCCCCACCCCGCGGGGCGGGGCCGCACCTGGAGATGCGGATCCGGTCCCGGACCGGGAGGTAAGAGAAGATCTCCAACAGGACTGAGTCCGGCAGGTCGGCCAAAGTCGCCATGATCCGCCGACACGCACTTCCGCTTGCGGCTGAGGGGATTCGGGATCTCGCCCCGGGGGCGCCAGCGGGTGGCGGGGGTGCCGGCAGGGCGGTGGCCGCCGCCTCCGACGGCGGGCGGAGAGTTTCAGCTTTCCTCCGGCGGGGACATGGTCGGGTCCCGGCGACCTGGACCGAGCGCGGAGGATGGTCCTAGGAACCAAGCCCTAGCACGGAAGGCGTGGCTGAGGCTCTGACGCGACCCGGAGGCGGGGTTAGGGGCGCGGACGAGGCTGGGGTCGGGGCTGGGGCTCGGACCAAGTCCGGAAGGCGCGGCGGGGGCGGTGACGAGGGACCCCGGGGCGGTGACGGGAGACCCAGGGACGTGTTCGGGTCGAGGACGAGGCCCAGGAGCGGGATTAAGGGCTAGGACGAGGCTGGGGGCGGGGCTAAGGGCTGGGACGAGACTGGGGGCGGGGCTAGGGGCTGGGACGAGGCTCGTGGGCGGGGCTAAGGACTGGGACTAGGATGGGGGCGGGGCTAAGGGCGGGGAGGAGGCTCGTGGGGCCGGACTGAGGACCGGGATCGAGCCGGGGAAAGGTAGCTCGGGCGGGGACGGGCGGGGACTAGGGGGTGACGAGCGGCCCGGGGGCGGGGCTGGGGGGCGGTGACAGGCCCGGGAGCGCGGCAAGCGTTGGGAGGGCGGGGCTTCAGACCCCAGGACCCAGCCCGGAAGGCGGGGTAGGAGCGCGCTAACGCGGGACAACCGGCAGTTGTAAGGGAGAGGGAGGCCCTAACTTTTTTACTTAATAACGCTTTTTGATGCCTATGAACAAGAATAAATTTGTAGAACCGAAGTAGCTTGTTAACAAAGGGCGTGTCAATTTTTCGGTTTGATAATGCCAAATTGTTCTGCATAGAGGCTGAGTTGACACTCCCACCAAATATATACTCATTTGTTTTTTAAAAGATTTTATTTTTAAGTAATCTCTACACCCAACCTGGTCTTGAACTTACAACTTAGAGATCAAGAGTCGCATATTCTACCCACTGAGCCAGTCAGGCGCCCCATATCTTTTTTTTTTTAAGATTTTATTTTCAGGTAATCTCTAAGCCCAACACAGGGCTGGAACCCACAACCCCAAGATCAAGGGTCGCTTGCTGCATAGACTGAGCCAGCAAGGTACCCCCATCACTCATTTTTAAATTAGCAATTCATTAAAAAATTATCAATTAGGGGCACCTGGGTGGCTCAGTTGGTTAAGCGGCTGCCTTCGGCTCAGGTCATGATCCCAGGGTCCTGGGATCGAGCCCCGCATCCGGCTCCCTGCTCAGCGGAGAGCCTGCTTCTCCCTCTCCCTCTGCCTGCCACTCTGCCTACTTGTGCTGTCTCTCTGTCAAATAAATAAATAAAAAATATCTTTAAAAAAAACTATCAATTAATAAAAACTGAAATTTATTCAACATTCCTGTATTGATGAGTATTCAAGTTGTTTCCAGATTTTTTTAAGATTTTATTTATTTATTTATTTGACAGACACAGCGAGAGCAGGAACACAAGCAGCGGGAGTGGGAGAGGGAGAGCAAGCCTCCCGCAGAGCAGGGAGCCCGATGAGGGACTCCATACCAGGACCCTGGGATCATGACCTGAGCCGAAGGCAGTGGCTTAACGACTGAGCCACCCCGGCGCCCCTGTTTCCAGATGTTACCACAAACAATATTTGAGCTAAACATTTATATATATATAATAACCATTTATATATATAAGCACTAATATATTATATATATAAGCCCTTGTATATAAAAGCATTTATATACATTATATCTCATGTTTTTTCTACTGAACAAATAGAAATATATATATATATCTTTCATGTTTTTTTCTTTTTTTAAAGATTTTATTTATTTATTTGTCAGAGAGAGAGTGAGCACAAGCAGGGAAAGTGGCAGGCAGAGGGAGAAGCAGGGTCCCGGCTGAGCAAGGAGCCCCATGCAGGACATGATCCCAGGATCCCAGGGAAGGCAGACACTTAACCCACTGAGCCACCCAGGTGTCCCTCTCACATGTTTTTTTCTATTGGATAAATAACTAGGAACCAGTTTGATGGGTCAAAGGACATGTGAAGTTTAATTTTGAGGTTTTGCTAAATCACACCCCCAAGAGCCCATAACGGCAATAAATGTTTTCAATACACACACACACACACACACACACACACGGAGGCAGGATTTGAGATGTTGAAAACTGTCTTAAAAAGAAATGCAAAACTCATTAAGATGTATACATTAAATGTGTGCAATTTTTGTATATCAACAATACCTCAGTAAAGCTAAAAAAAATACATCTGTATGCTTGTGCTTATCCATAAATAAATAAAAAGTAAAACACCAGGGCTTTCATCTATCAGATTAAAAAAGATGAAGGAGCGCCTAGGTGGCTCAGTCAGTTAAGCCGCTGCCTTCATCTCAGGTCATGATCTCAGGGACCTGGGATGGAGCGAGCCCTGTAGTGGGCTCCCCACTCAGCGGTGAGTCTGCTTCTCCCTCTCCATCTGCTCCTCCCCCCTGCTCATGCGCTCTCTCAAATAAATAATAAATAAAATTTTTAAAAACAAAAGATGAAGAAGTTGGAAAATATCCACACTGGCCTTGGTGTGAGGAAACAGACCCTTCCAACCCTGCAGAAGGGGCAGAATTGATTCAAACTCTTTGAAGGCAGTTTAGCAATATAAGATTGCAGCCTCTGTTGGGCCCAACAATCCCTCGTGTAGGATCTCAAATCGTTTAAAAAAAAAAAAAATGACGTAGGTCTTTCAGTGCTGTTTGAACAATCTCCAGGATACTGTTTGGTTTAAAAAGCAGAAGATGTAGAGATCAGTGAATATAGTTTGATCTCACTGGAAATACATACATCTCCAAAAAATGCACACACGATTTATTATGTGTTTCACTCTTCATACACGAAGGCCTGTATAAAAACTAAAACATTCATAGGGAGCCTAGATGGCTCAGTTGGTGGAGCATGTGACTCCTGATCTCAGGGTTGTGAATTCAAGCCCTACATTGGGTGTAGAGATTACTTTAAAAATAAATAAATAAAAAATCTTAAAAAACAAAACCAAAAAACCCTAAGTCATTTGTTTCTGCCCTTTGACATAAAATACTGTATGTTACTTGAAAATACAAAGTCTCTATCTCTATTGAAATGTGTTAATGTCTGAAAAGTTTTATCATTTTCTTGGGAGGCTCCATATCAGATGTTTGAAGCAGGAACTATCTCCAGAAAATGGCAACTTTTAATGGTAGTTGCCCCCGGGGAGGGCAGGGATCTGAAGGCAAGGACACTTTATGCTGCCATATATATACTTTTATACTGCCTGAATTTTTACCATGTGCAATTGTTACCTTAAAAAAGAGTAAGTTCCGGGCGCCTGGGTGGCTCAGTTGGTTAAGCGACTGCCTTCGGCTCAGGTCATGATCCTGGAGTCCCGGGATCGAGTCCCGCAT